TTCTCCTGCTTTCTCTGTACGAGTAGGACATGCTTCTACCCAGCCTGAATAGGTGCACACCACTACCAGCAGGTAGCGATGTCCACACGATTTAGGCATCACTGTATAGTCAATTTGTAAATCGGACATGGGAAGTCCCCCCATAAACTGGACTCCTGGTGGCTTTACTGGTCCTTGTCTTGCATTATTTTTAGCACACGTTACACATCTACATACAATGGCCTGAGTCAAGTTGGACAATCTTGGTATGTAGAAATGTTTTCTGAGAGATTCTTCTGTACTGTCTCTCCCAGAATGTGTCCCGTTATGATAGTTTTGGACAATTTCTACCGCTAGTGATGCTGGAATAACTATTCTTTCATCTTCTAACTGATACCATTTGTTCTCCAAATACTTTCCAGGTTCAGTCCTTAACCACTCCTCTTCTTGAGCTGTATAAATTGGAGTCCATTGAGACAGTGGAGTTGGTATAAGAGCAGCTATATGCCCACATATTCCTGTCTTCCTGATTCAGCAGCACGCTTAGCTGCACTATCTGCCATCCGATTCCCTTTGGTTACATCACCATCTCCTCTCAGATGCGCCCGACAATGTATAATACCGACTTCTTTCGGCTCCCACACTGCTTCCAATAGTTGTGGGATCTCAGCTGCGTATTTGATTTCTTTGCCTTCTGAATTCAATAGTCCTCTTTCTTTATACAAAGCTCCGTGGGCATGAGTGGTTAAAAACGCATACTTGGAGTCCGTGTAGATGTTCACTCTTAAACCTTCAGCCAATTGTAACACTCGTGTCAGTGCTATCAATTCTGCCTTTTGTGCTGATGTTCCTTTTGCCAGTGGCCGAGCTTCTATCACCTTGTCTATCGTTGTTACTGCATATCCTGCATAGCGGATCCCTTCTTTACATAACTACTGCCGTCGGTGTAATATTGAACATCAGGGTTCTGGATGGGAAAATCACGAAGATCTGGTCTACTTGAAAATACTTCATCCATTACTTTCAAACAATCATGTTGACTTTCAGTAGGTTGTGGCAAAAGGGTAGCTGGATTTAAGGTATTTACAGTCTCTAAATGCACTCTTGGGTTTTCACACAACATTGCTTGATACTTGGTCATACGACTGTTACTAAACCAATGATTTCCTTTGTAATCCAACAACGTCTGTACTGCATGTGGAACTCGTACATAAAGTTCTTGACCCAGAGTGAGTTTATCGGCTTCAGCTACTAACAGGGCGGCTGCAGCTACGGCTCTTAGACAAGGTGGAAGTCCGCTGGCCACTGCATCCAGTTGCTTAGACATGTAGGCAACAGGTCTTTGCCATGATCCCAAGTACTGTGTCAATACTCCCACAGCCATTCTTCTTTGCTCATGTACATACAGGTAGAATGGCCGTGTGTGATCAGGTAGACCTAATGCTGGGGCACTCATCAAAGCCCTCTTCACATCTTCGAATGCCGTTTGCTGTTCTTGAGTCCATAAGAAGGGGTCGTGCTCTGTACCTTTGATAGCTGCATACAGAGGTTTTGCCAGTATCGCGTAGCTGGGAATCCATATCCTACAGAAGCCTGCTGCCCCCAAGAATTCTCGCACTTGTCTTCTATTCCTGGGTATGGGTATTTGGCACACAGCTTCTTTTCTCTCTGGCCCCATAATTCTTTGACCTTCAGAGATATGGAATCCCAGATATTTGACAGTTGGCAAACACAACTGAGCCTTCCTTCTTGACACCTTGTATCCTGCCTTCCAGAGAATGTGTAGTAGATCGTGCGTTGCTGACATACTTCCTTTGTAACTGCTGCTATCAACAAGTCATCTACATATTGTAATAATACACACTCTCCTGGGATAGACTCGAAATCTAGTAAATCTTGACTTAGAGCTGAACCAAATAGGGTAGGTGAATTTTTAAACCCCTGGGGCAATCTTGTCCAGGTCATTTGGCGTTTCGAGCCCGTTACAGCATTTTCCCATTGGAAAGCGAAGATACATTGGCTTTCTGCGGCAATTCGGAGGCAAAAGAAGGCATCTTTGAGATCTAAGACTGTAAAATAAGTAGCCCCGCCCGGAATTAAAGCAAGCAGGTTATATGGATTGGGCACGACTGGAT